TTCTCACATGTGGGAAATACGACATGAAGGTGAAAATAAAATTACAAAATTAGGACCTTTTCCAAATGAGTTCTGTGGATCTAACGTCCCCAACACAATTACAGTCTTAAACATCAATGGGAAGATTTAAGTGAATTTAAAACTTCACTCCATTGCACAAGCGAATGGCTATCAGAACTCAGTAGCTAGGTGGAGAACATTACGGTGTTTGAAACGAATAGCACTAGGTTCGAGTCCCGGAGTAAATATCAACTCCGTAATGCAAGTGTATCCAGCTGATGAGTCCTGATTAGGGTAAAACGTATATTCTGGATTCCAATGTTAGTTACTATCTATCTTTAGTGGAAAAAATGTTATTTATGTTATCTACTATTATATAATTTCTCCGAATTGATTATTCTAAAATTACATTATTGTTCAATTTATCACCTAAAAATTAATCTTTTAATTATCAAATTACTAAATTCTTATTAGAAAATAAAATCAATTTAATTATCAATCAACATAAGAATAATTTATTTAAGTAATATAATATTCATCGTAACATTCATCGTTAAATTGCATCACGAGGCAAGCCCTGACTTAGAATCCTGAAGGGAAGCGGAAAAGAGGAAGGCTAAAGAACACATTACGTCGGGAAATAGAATTAGATATGAAAAGGATGAATTACAACTGCAAGGAGCTAGAAAGGATTTCCCAGGACAGGGTTGAATGGAGAATGCTGGTGAGCGGCCTATGCTCCTTCACAAGGAGTAACAAGCTTAAGTATGTAAGTAAGTAAGTAATATAATATTCATAATCTGAATACTTCTCATCTAGAATAAGCTTTCATTCTATTATAATATTAAATCTATGTTGATTGATGTGATGATGATGATCATTTTGTAATTGTAATCAGATCTAAAATTTATTGATTTATAAATTTGATTGGAAATCAATAAAACTAAGAATGTACATGATCTAAAATGACAATTTTTTGGAATAACTTATTTAAGAAAGTTAACTAAATTCAATTGACTTTATTCAACTGTAATTTAATAATAGAATGTAAACCTCTAAGTTGGTAATTATATACCATATTGTAATAATAATAAAGGTCTATATCTCTTATTTCAATATTCGCATACTAAATTGAGTTTGTAGTGGCTGTGCTTCGTTAACACCAATCACTCTCGTAACCGTTATCATATAATCCTCAACGGTCAGATGGCAAAGAGAAGTAGCGACTACAGTTTTATTAGCAGATAACTCAAACCACAAAGCACAGAAGCAAATGAGTGAGTCAGCAAACCGACAGTGTAGTGTTAAATCTACATCTATATATATAGGGAAATGAATGGATCATCGAATCAATTAAGCAGTTAATAGTAAAACTAGCAGAATGAATATATGCGTAGGCGGTAAACAATATTCAAGCATACATATTTCATACAAGCACAACAATAATAAAGGTACAATAAGTTGTTATAGCATAGTACGGATGACTTTGTCCGCTAAATAAGTTAACAAAAGGGCTTAACTGAATTAAATGAGAGCAAACTCAATTTGCACGTGAGTTGCTATAAGTTCAATTTTAAACTTGAATGTTTTCCATGTATATTTTTTCCATATATCATTTAGACACTATTAATACCCGAAATCATATACATTTTTGGTGAACAGTGACAATTTGATTATTATCGATCATTGCAGTATTTGATCAGTGAATTTTTACTTCATAACACTGATTATAATATAGTTAGATACAATATATACAATATACCAAAAAAGGTTAACCATACCAAATTGATAAAGTACATTAACTGTTTAAATATGTGTACTTATAAAGAAGTTTAATTTTGACCTGTCAATCTATGTTTAACAGGTCAGTTTGAGTTAATACTTATTTATTTATTTATTTCAACACATAAACATGGGTACGAGGAGGCACCAAATAGATACACGCCACATAAATCATTCGATTCATGTGAGGGTTGGGATACTGTCCGGGTGCCCAAACCGAAGCAGGTGCTCTTCTTAGAGAGTCACACCACGAGCCTTTGACCTAAAAGTCAAATCCACAAGGAAGTGGAGCAACATTAGGAGATGCAGTTCCATGGAAGCCAGTGACCAATGATTGGTTCATATCCCATTTGATTTGGAATGAGGGTTTTCCAACTGCCCTAAGTGCGTCCTCCATATCCACCAACCAACCTGTTTAGAGTGCCGGATATTCGATTTTCCTCTTCTCGATTTCGTAAACACCCCGGCCACTAGAAGGAAGTGAGTATGACTCCCCAGGCAGTGGTTGTATGCACGTGGCCATGTGAGAGTTGACTCTCCTCACTCTGAACTGTACCAGGGCATTTGAGGGTAAAGTTCGGGCTTGTCCGAATACAGTAGCATCTTTTCCAGTTTCAGACATCGGTTAGCAAATACATCCTAAATTTATCTCTTATACCAGCTGAAAATTACGTGTCTTCCATAAGCTTATTTAGCAATGCCTAATTCAGGGCTTTTGTCGGACCAACTAAGGATTTCACCAGAGAAACAGAGCCTTCTCTAAATTTACCAAAAAGCAGACCACGAGAACCACCAAGATTGTTATGACTGACAGAACTGAATGACTAATAGGTATATCGTGAAATTATTTGTCTCATTTAATTGACAATTTGCTGCGTGATAAGTGAATGATAAGATATTCTTAATTAATGACCACTTTGATTCATTTAGCTGATTAATTCTATTCAATTCAGATACGAGGATTGTCTTAATAAAAAAATCCGTTAAGTCACTTGAAAGCCTTTCAACAGTTCTATCATTAGCTTACTCCATCAGTCTTCTTGAAAGCTTCACTTACCACTTCCAAATTTATTAAGAAGAGAGGCAAATTCATCCTCATAATTCAACATAAAAATTATCATCTTATTAATTCACAGATGAAATTTTTAAAAAATTAATGAATCAATCGTTGACCGCATTAGCAAAACCATTCATAAAATGTTGTGGTACACGTCAGTTCCTATAAGTAACTCTTAGCAAAATAAAGAATTTTAGTCATTCGACAATAAAATAACCTAACAATGTATTTTGACTAATGGTACAGCATCATCGGTGAACAAGTATGATCTAATGCACATGTAAACACAAAGATTGGCAAAGTAAGGGCAGCATTCATACAGCTGAAGAATGTATAGAACTCAAATCAACTGTCAGTCAACTCCAAAGTTCGAATTTTCAACACGGATATTAGACAGATCTATTGTACGCAGCGGGAACTTCCAAAACTACCACAACCATTATCAGACAAGTACAAGTAAACAATTTTATACTCAAGATATTCAATGTCCATTGACAAGATACCATTAGCAGCAGCCTAGTGTGGGAGAGAACTAATCCGCTTCTGACTGAGGAGGAAGTTAGGAATTGACGCTGCACCTGGATAGGATATACATTGAGGAAATCATCAGAATTCATCACGAGACAAGCAATAGCTCGGAATCCTGAGTGGAAACAGAAAACAGGAAGACCAAGTAACATATTGCGTCGAGAATTGAAGGGAGACATGAAAAGGATGAATAGCAATTGGAAACAAGTGAAACGAATTTTCTAGGACAGAGTTGGATGGAGAATGCTGGTGCGCAGTCTATGTTCATCCAAGGGGGGTAATGGGCGTGTGTAAGTAAGTAAATAAGGGTACAGTATGTGTTTATAGTGAAAACTGAATATCCTAATAAAGCAAATGCTAAATTTTATGAAGGTTTTGCTTGATGCATGTAACAACATATTATTGATTCAAGATTGTTTCAAAGTTTAATACTTCATACAACTACCAAAGCGCCCCCAAATGCCCTGGTACGGATAAAAGTGGGAAGAGTCAGCTCTCCCTCTCGAAATGCTCTCATATGGCCACGTTCATACAACTACTGCCTTCTCACCAAAGGGGTATTGTTTACGAAATCAATAAAACGAATATCCGGCGCTCTAAATAGGTTGGTTGGTGGATATTGAGGATCTATCTAGGAGAGTTGGAAAACCCTCATCCTAAACTAATGGTGTACATAGGCTCCAGGATCCTGAAGGAACAAATGGCGTATGAACCAATTGTTTGTCATCGACTACCATGGGACTGCATCTCCTAATGTTGCTCCACTTCCTTGTGGATTTGACTTTTAGGTCAAAGGCTCCGGGAGTGGTTCCCTAAGAAGAGCACCTGCTTCGGTTTGGGCACCCGGACAGTATCCCAACCCTCACATGAATCGAATGATTTACATGACGTATATTTATTTGGTGTCTCCTTGTACCAATGTTTATGTGTTGAAATAACAATAACAATACTTCCAAATTATAACAGTAGAATACAATAGTTTTTCTTTTCCAAATATTTCACAAACTGAAAACTTTCTTCTTTAAATAATGATTTGATTCAACATAAATATATCGATTTTACGGTATACAAGAAAAAGTAAAACAATATAAAGGTATACAATTTCAAAAGGAAAAATGAATGTCATTAAATGAAATTCTAAAAATTGAACAAATTGTACAAAATCTTAATGATACTTACAGTATATTTCATTAAATCTCATTTAAATATGTCTACCTAATAAATAAAAAAAAGCAAAAGAAGAATATAATTTTCCGAAAGAATACTTTCCTGTCATTATTATTAGAACAGATTTATTAAGACAAATTTTTTTAATCAGAATCCGGTTTAAAATTAATTTTTCATAGTTTGATTTTAAAACTTTATTTTAATTTATGAATTTAAAAAAGAAAAAAACAAAGAAAAACGGAAAGAATTATCTTTCAAAAGAATTGAAGAAAAAGAAAAAGAAGAAAGAAAAAAGAAAAACACGGATTAGAAATACCGAATGTTACATTGTCCAATGTTATATTTTATTGGACATTTGTATTAATTCGAATGTTGCTCTATGATTGGTCAATTTTAATAAACCAATCAGATTAATATCTTCAATCTTTTGTTATGGATGTATAATGGTAATGAGGATGATACATTTAATGGAAATGATCTCATCGAAATTGAAGCCAGAAATTACATGTCCATTATGTAATCAAATCTTTCAAACTCCTCTTTTACTTCCATGTGGACATTCTATTTGTTCTGGATGTATAAGTAAACTTTGTAGAACTTTGACCAAATCATCAATTGTCACTAATAATCAAACTCATTATCTAGCTACTCAAACAATTTCATCTATTGGAATTGAAGATGCTATTAGTGAAGCAGATTCTGGTGTAGTTGTTTGTAGTTTGGAATCTAATAATGATTGTCAATTAACATCATATTCACCTCAAAATGTTAATCGTACTCATTCTATACAACAATTATGTCGTATATGCAGTACTAATCGTAGTCATAATAATTCATTCAAAAAGACTAATAATTTTACAAGTTTAAATTTAGAAAATGGAAATAATGAAATATTATCAAGTGAAATATTACCTCATAATATAGCTTTGGAAAACCTAATTACACGAATAACTAAAGCTGAAGTGAATCATCGTGATACAGATACAACACTGAATTCTGGAGTTATTAAAAAAGATAATAACAGTCTATCTACAATAAGATGTCAATTATGTGAATCATCAAATGAGATTTTATCATTATCATTTTGTGAACAATGTAGTCTTTGGTATTGTAAAACATGCCTAAAATTATGGCATCCACCTACTGAAATGTTAATTAAACATCGTATTACATCGTTTAATAATCATAATTGTTTATTGTATTCATCAAAACAGATTATTACAGAAGTAACTGGACCAACATGTACACATCACTCAGGATATGTTTGTAATTTATATTGTATAACATGCTCAATGTTTGTTTGCCTACGGTGCTTAAGTTCAAACGAAAGGAATTATAACAATGATCATAACTATTATAACACAAATAGTAATCACAATGATGTAACTACGCCTAATTTGTACACACCAAGCAGTACTTCTCCTCATGAATGCTTATCCCATATTGGTCATACAGTATGCTCAACTAATATTTATGCCAAAAAGATGAAGGTAAACATTTTTATCAAACTCTGTTAGAATTCTACTGTTTTCTTATCTACAATTCATCATTATATTTGCTAAGAACTCACAAAATTTGATGGATAAAATACGGTTTAGGCAAACTAAAAACAGACAAATAAATGTTTTTTCCATTCAGTTCATAAATCTTCTGAAGATTGTCATTGAACTAATCTGTTATGATTTCCAACTGGATCTTTTAAGTAATTCTAATTCTTAAAAAAAACCATGGAAAACTATAGCGGTAGTATTCATTGTTCCCATGTTGTCTTTCCTCAACATTGTTGAAATTGACATTGAGTTTATTAACTAAACACCATCTTAACAGGCATTTATCTTTATATTGTAAGAAGAATATTAAAAAAAACTTGACTAACTATCAATTCACTATTCTGATGATTATTAGAGAATTAAAAGCTAACAGCTTAATAAGTCTTAAATTTCAAATCTGCTCGTGTCATATAAATACGAAATACATCTAACATTTCAGTGTACTGGCTGCTTAGTTTCCTTAGCTTATACAACTGCTAACGATTTGACTTAAAAGGAATATGACAAAACTAATATGTATGGTGTTTGAAATGAGTTTTTTTTTTTAATTGTCTACTATTGGAAGAAATGTCGGTGAGACTATGATTTATGAACAAACTAATCAGATTTGAGATAACAGGTCTCGAATTTTAGCGTGAAATTGACCCACTCATTTGACTAAATACTATTTCGGCATCATAGCTTAAGTCAGTTCGTGATGAAAACTTTAAATCTAGTTCCTAACCCTAAAGATAAATTTCAAATCATAAGTCTAATTCTTCTGACTCCTTTACAATACTCGGTTAGTCCTAGTTAGTAGATTGACATTTTCAAGGTCATTTTAGACTTGCTCAAGGGTTGTCCATAAATTATAGTCTCACCGAAATGTCTAATTTTATAATTATTCTTGAATATGATATCAGAGTTTGTCCAACTTTATAATTTGACTTCAAAATTGACGTTTTATATATTATTACATATATTCAGTTATGCTTGCAATCCGTTACAAAAATATCAACCTGTTATGCAGGAAGACTATAAAAGTACCATCTGTTGTTTATTCCAAACCACACATTTTTCTACTTTGAATGCAAAGTAAATAAATAACAATATGACGAATGTTAAAATTCATTAAATCATAAACACTTGTTCCAAATAACTCCACTAATCATGGATAATTATTGAGTTATCAAGGGTTAGATGGAGAGTGCTTGTTGACCGCCTATGCTCCTCCACGAATGGTAACAGGAGTAAGTAAACAAGTAAATCATCTAGAATAATAATAAACAATTTTTCTAATTCAGTGTTCATATAAATGATGACTAGTATCGTAAATATCAATGAAAACGTTGATCATATGATAGACAATAAATTAATGATTACAACCATTTTTCTTCTAGATATGCTTTTAAAATTCATTTATCTATAAGAAAGATTTTCATATCCATTAAGACATACGTAATCCAATGGTTTTAGTTCAAAGTAGACTTTTATTCTTTGTTCCCATTCTTAATATATTGCATTTAGATTACAGTCAAATACTATAACACTGGTATATATACGTATAAAGCTGACTAAAACTTGGTAAGAGATATTGTACTTTATCATTTTAAAGCTAATGGTTACCGAGTACAAAGCCCTCAAATGCCCTGGTACGGCCGAGAGTGGAGAGAGTCCGCTCTCCCTCTTGAAATGCTCTCACATGGACACGCGTATATAGCCTCTGCCAGGGAAGTCCTACTTATTGCCTTCTCGTGGTGGAGATTTTGTTTACGGAATTGAGAGGACGAAAAGGGAATGTCCGGCGCTTCAACCGGGTTGGTTGGTGGATATGGAGGATCCATCTAGGAGAGTTGGAAAACCCTCATTCCAAACCAAAGGTGCACATAGGCTCCAGTATCCTGAAGGAACAAATGGCGTATGAACCAATTGTTGGTCACCGACTGCCATGGGACTGCATCTCCTTACGATGCTCCACTGCCTTGTGGATCAGACCTTCAGGTCGAAGGTTCCGGGTGTGGCCCCCTAAGAAAATCACCTGCTTCGGCTTGGGCACCCGGGAAGTATCACAGCCCTCACACATCGAATGAGATTTGTGTGGCGCATGTGTATTTGGTGCCTCCTTGTACCAATATCTATGTGTTAAAATAAATAAATAAATAAAACCGAGTACAAGCTAAAAGCTACATAAATCAAATATCAAAGTGTTTGGTGAGAAAAATTACTAACCTATACTTACATCCCGGTTATGAAAACATACTCTATGCTCATTGTTAACTTATTTTCTGAAATAAGATAAAACATAATTTGAGGCAATTCAGATTACTTGTAAGATTTAAATTAAAATACTTATTGTTTGTTAAAAGGTGAAGTTAGTCTACTGTTACAGGCTTCGTAATAAATAGGATTGCATACTGGGTTTAACTATTGGTCCACAATGAAATCATCTAATTAATACCAAATAAATTTTTCTTTGACTAGCATTTAATGCCAAGCATCCTAATACGATATCGTTAATTAAATATCCGAAAAATATCACACATGTAATCACTGCATCTGTTATAACCTCAGGAAACTGATATTTGCAACAGAAAACTATGTTTCGCATAACACAATAAAGAAAGCAAGAAGATAAATGAAAGTCGATTATTTATCAAAAAGAGATGATAAACTATATCTAAATACATTGAGCTATATACACTAGAATTACCTGATCAACAGTCAACTTTAAATAAATTGAACTGGTCATGTTTAATATCAATGACTGAATGTACGCACAAAATCATAAAATTAATCTGCTACGATCAACAAATATACTTATTTTAGTGAGTTTTATATTTGCTCATTCTTAATAGTATCCTATTTAGCTCATGTATTTTGCCAATAAACTAAGTAAATTTATCAACATAAAACCTTTCACAATATCAAATAGGCTCAAAATAAATCACTGTAAATCTAATCCAACTGATATTTGGACTTGGAAGCAATAAAACAATAACGAAACAGCCGTCTAGTGCTTACAGGTTTTCAATGGTGGTTTAACATTGGTCAATTCATGATCTCAATTTTCAAAAATGATTTGCTGTAGGTTTATTATTGTTAAAGTCCTCAGTTAGCATAGCTTATTTAAAATTATATTTCATATTGTTCGTAAATACTCGTAACCATCAGAGGAATAGTAAGAACTTCTGATCATTGGATATATATTTCGTTCCAGTTCGGGCCTTTAAATAAGAAGGAAAATTTGTTCTTCGATGTTGAAAACTAAACAGGAATGTAACTGGAGACTGAATGTGCAAATATTTTCTTATTTCTTCCAGAATTCCTGTCGTAAAGTCAAGCTAAATACTGATAGTACGTTGCAACTGAATCATTTTAATAATCTATATCATATCAATGTACACTTCAATCATTAATTGGTGTAATGACCTTCAAGTACATTTTTACAATCAGATCAGTTATTTTCTCATCTTTAAACGAATGTCATAGATTCTCTTTATTTGCACATTTTTTTCTTTTTTTTATCATTGACTTTTCCTTCAAATTGTCTTCAAAAGGGCAAGGTCATTGCAAATTGTCCAGAACAATGGCATATATGAGTCCATATGAGAGCCACTGAGTCATCATTAATATAATCATCATTATTATTTCTAATGTCATTCGAGTCGGTTCAGCTTTTCTAATTATCTAACCTTGTATTTAATTCCATTAGTTTCTTCACACTTTAAATAAATTTGACCCTTGACCCAAAATTAAAAAAATTAAGATAAACTGATACTAGTTATAATAATGAAAACTGTATTAATATAACAGAATCCAAAATCACAGAAAAGTCCTAGTCAGTCACGGTTTAAAGAGAGTTACAAATAAATAAAACCTAATGTGAAATTTTACTTACTAACGCCTGTTACCCCTCGTGGAAGAACATAGGCCGCCTGTAAACATTCTCTATCCAACTCCTGTCTGCTTCCAATTCTCGACGCAATGTATTCCCTGCTCTTCCTGTTTTCCGTTTCCCTTCAGGATTTCGAATTAGTGCTTGCCTCGTGATGGAGTCTGATGATCTCAATAATGTGGCCTATCCACTTGAGGCGTCTTTTCCTAATTTCTTCTTCATCTAGAAGCCGATTTGTTCTCTCCTATAACAGGCTGTTGCTGATGGTGTGCTGTCAACAGATATTGAGTATATTTTGTAGACAGTTATTTATAAATACTTGTACTTGTTTGATGATGGTTGTTGTAGTTCTGGAAGTTTCCGCTACGTACAAAAGATCTGTACTTACTATACCAATCCTTGCGTTTACGTGTGCATTAAATCATCCCTGTCCATCGATGATGCTGTCCAGGTACATGAACGTTTCCACATCTTCCGGAACCCATCCACCAATCGTGATTTGGTTTCTGCTTGCCGTGTCGTATTTGAGGATCTTGCTTTTTCCCTTGTGTATGTTACGGCGTACAGATGCAGAGGCTTCTGCTACACTAGTTGTCTTCATTTGTTGGTGTGTATGGGATAGAAGAGATAAATCGTCTGCAAAGTCCAAATCGTCTAGTTGGATGGAAGCTATCCATTGTATTCCGTGCTCCACCTGAAATGTGCAGGTCTTCATAATCTAGTCAACCACCAGAATAAAGAGGAAGAGGGAAAGTAAACAGCCTTATCTGACACCGGTCCTCACTTGGAATGAGACTTTCAGCTGCTGTGATAAAGAACTGCTGCACAAGTTTCACATGATTAAAAGGAATAAAATCAAGCAAGAGTATAACGAACTTATACATCTTTTCTTTTGAAACTGTCTGTGGGCATAACACTTCTCAATTAATACTGAATAAATGGAAAAAGCGTAATTTATCAACTGCTTTTTTTTGACTGTTTATCGGAGCTCATGCAATTCATAAAAAATAGACCATTCGTTCTCACCAATTGTAACATTGGAAAATCTAAATTTTAAAGATACATG